CCCACCAAAATCTTGGAATTTCATTTTAAAAAATTCAATTTTATTTTTTTGATGAAACGGTAAATTAGATTTCCAGCCATGCAAGTTAACCCATTATGGTAACTAACATTTTGGGTCTTCACGTTTGTCTTTATAGGTCCATCCGTCACCTACAAGAGGCGTCTAGCACTGATGGCAAAGGTGAGAATCATAATCAGAAACAGACCAAAGGTTTTGAGTTGTACAGTTGCATATGCTATAACTATTTGTTTTTAAATTTGGTCCATGTCTCTTTTAGCTGCCATGAATCTGGAGAAACTGAAGCTCTTCCGGCATTATTATGTGATGGTAAGAAGGAGTTCAGCTCAGATGTATCTACACTTGGCGTGCTTTGCTGTATAATACACTCGGATTGCAACATTTGATGTTTTAGAGGCATTCATGATGTTGATAGTGCCTGAATGAATTAGACATTTTTTAATAATCTGGCATCAATTACTCTTAAGTTAATTGTAAAAGTGATTGCAATTGACAAGATCAGTTGATCACTTATTCAGCAGAGTCAAGAACAAAAGCCTATAATGTCGTTCATTTTACATGTTGTAGAGCAAGTTTTACTAACCTAAGGCAAAATAATGAAGGGTAAACACAAAACTGCAACAGTTGAAGTCTCTTACTGTTTGTCTATTTTCAAATGAGATGTTTCTTTTTCTTTTTAGATTGTGTGTTACATCTACTTCACAAGGATCATAGCCATTCTGCTCAAGGTCACCATGCCCTTCCAGTGGCAGTGGTGCTACGAGGTAAGACGAGCAACAACGATGTTCACTTAAAGTCTGACTTTATTACTGCAGAGCTCTTGTTTGAAGGTCAAACAACACACCCTGTTCCTCACTCACACTAAACACTGACCATTAAGGATTGGCAGGAAGTATTAATGGGATGCATGCCAGTTTGATGTTTGTTCATACTGTACATACTTATGTCTTCTCTAATCTCTCATACGTCCTCAGTTTCTGGTGGAGGTGTCTACTCTGATCTTTTTCGTGTTGACGGGCTACAAGTTCCGACCAGCGTCCAACAACCCCTACCTCCAGCTCCCCCAGGACGAGGAGGACGTGGAGATGGATGAAGTGTAAGCAGACACCATCACATCTTCTTAGGTTTTATTTCCACGCTGTTCCACACATTGTCTAAACAGCCTGTGTAGTGACAATCAAACAGTAAATGGCTTCATTTATGTATTGTACTTCTCCTCATTTACCGATTCACACACTCCAGGCTGCAGGCCAGCATGCAATGAACTCAAGAGATTTTTTTAAGTTACCATTATTGGCAGAGCAGCACTTTTGTCAGTTTTTCTCAGTCTATATAAGCAGGATAAGTTCAGGGGCAGTGCTTAACAGCTAATGTCTACAATTCCTGTGTTTTTCTCACTCTTGAGGACGAGGCTTTTTCGTCAGGTTCTAAGGACTGATGAGAGTTCAAACAAGGTTTATATGATGCTTTACTCTTTCTGTGTCTGTCTGGTTTCAGAGTGACTGAGTCAGGTGCACTTGAGGGGATTTCCAAAGTCAAGAAAACATCTAATGGACGCGATCGCCAGAAAGAGTCCACCTTGTGAGAGGGAAGCTGCATCTTTAGTTTTGAAGGAGGGGGGGACCCAGTAAAACATCCCCAGGGATACACATGGACCAAGGTTTCCCAACAGCCCCCCCACCCCCACAGTGACGGCTTTCCCTCTTTAACTCTTGAAGTGGTTGCAGCCCACTGTCTGGCTATGCAAAAAAAAAAAAAAAGACTCACTTTGTTTCCTTGAACACTCCACTCAGAAACTCTGAAAGCTTGTGCTCCTGCCACATGGATGGGTGGACATACGGAAAGGAGCTCTGATGCTCTTTAGTTTGCCTCTCTCTCTCTCTCTCTCTCTCTCTCTCTCTCTCTCTCTCTCTCTCTCTCTCTCTCTCTCTCTCTCTCTCTCTCCAAAGATAATTATCATTTGAGTGGAAGCCTTGCTTTCCATTGTGTTTATATCGGCTATTTAAAAAAAAAAAAGGTACTTCTGCAAGCCTCTTCGCTGTACCTTTCCATGGGCGCCAATAGTACAGGTGTGTGTGCGTGAATGTGGGATAACAAGATTTGTTTTCACTTCCCTTTAGAGACAATGGCCCACACTCAGGTAAAACTGTAATCAATATATATTTCAAATTTCAATTATCTACATTTTTGGCCCTCCAACTTGTTCAGGGGTCAGTAACGTCCCATTGGTGATTATTCACCTTCATTCCCAAACAGTCCAGTTGTTGTTTTTCTTCAAATTTAGATTTTTATATTGAAATATATGGATGTAAGATGTGCTATATTTCAATATATTTACTTTTTATATATTGAAATGTTATATTCAAGTATTATGGTTTCTGTTGGAGAGCTCCTTGCAGCTGTAATTTAGTGCTTTAGTGGTTGAGGTCAATCGACAAACCGTTTTTTGGACGAGTCCCCAGAGCAATTGGCCCAAATTGTGTTCAAACATGGCCTTTATTTCCTGTTTTTGTTCTTTTGGCCATACTGTGTTGGTGTGAAGAGAAGTGACCTAATCCATCATTTTTTAAAATTGATCTGCTTTTGGTTTTACCTTCCTTGCTCTTGATGTGAAGCTTATTTTATTAATTATTGAAGACGTGCGGTGAAAGATCAGATTCGTGTGCTGCAGCCGGGCGGGGTAGACGGCCATTTGTAAATAATTTAAAGAGGAAGACCGTTGATACAAAAAGAGGCACACAACACTTTGATAAGAAATGCTTAGAGGCTTTATAGATGGTTATAAGACACAGAATCAGTTTCAATGAGAATATTTTGATTCCTTTAACAGATTGGGGGGAAGATAAAATATGAGGAATAAGGAACGACGACTAAGATTGGAAAAGCAGACACTCCTGTACATAGCTGCAGAGTTTACAGACTGGTCTCCAGGCTCTAAGAGGACAGCAGTAAACAGATGAGCAGAGTCGTTTTGTGCTTGTTACAGAGGGAAATTTGATATCTGTGTGAACTGTTACAATAAAGCTGGTGTTCTAGAAAGGACTCTAATTTGTGTTTGATTTATTTATTTATTTTACAGCTTTTTGGGATACTGAGTGATTCCAAACAAATTACAACTTTTTAAATTTAAAAGAACACCTTCTCAAGCCTTGTGGCCATTGTGACTTGTAAATTCATAAAAAATTAGAAAATTTCACTCCACTTGGGGATTCTAATTCTAAGTCTCACCGTTAGCTGTTAACAAATGGTTGTAAGAAAAAAAACACCAGAGGTTTCCTGGAGCAACTTGAAAGTTTTGATGAGCACCTAACTGATGAGAATGAAAGGTCAAACACACGCGTTCTGCTCTGAAATGACGAGGCTGTCTACATAACTCAAAAGAATGACAAATAAAATGAATAGATCATTAAACCAAAGGTGTCAACACTGGAGAAATAAAGCAGTTCAGCCATAGTTCTGTCTCCACCTTGATTTGAGACGAAAAATATGAAACAAACAAATAATGAAGAGTTTCAGACATGTTACAGACTTTACTAAATCCATTTCATATCATGTCAACTGAAGGAAATATGTAACTAGAAGTGAAAGTACTCTAAAATCTGTTTACCTAAAGCACAGGCCAATATTCAAAATGTGTCTAAAAATGTAAAGGAAAATAGTTATTAATATGGTGACATTCTCCATGGAAATATTACATCAATTCACAAAAGGTCAAGTGTCTATTTTTAAATGATCAATGTCATAAATTTATGGAATTCAATTCAAACTTTTTTGCACTACAATGATAAAAACAATCACGTTCCCAGTCTGGTATATGGTGCCGTCTATGCTGAGTCAGCTTCTGGTGAGGTTAGATGTAGGGAGACACGTCACTATTTACCATAGGCAAGGCTCTGCATACGGCTGTGTTCAACATACTTGATAGCAAATAGTGAAGGGTTTTTATAGGTTTTTATTCCTGGAAATAGGAATAAAAACAAATAATAGAAATAACAATGTTAAAAATAATTACACCATTAGGACTAAATAAAGACGAAAAGGAACAAAGACCAGTTATGTACAAGAAGAAACTGCACTTAGCTATTTTAAGGATGAAAATAAAATAAAACATTTGCAAGTAATAGAGGTCCAGTTTTTTAAGTACCTGCAGCATTTATTTCAGGTTTTTGTTTGTCAGCCTGTTCCCTTTTTTTTTAATCGTAGTGTTGAACTTACAGCCTGTACAGTTAAATGAGATAAACATACTTAAAAAAAACCCCCGGATGAAACAGATGATGACAACGTTTTAATATGTGAACACATACGGAGTATTTCGTATAAAGCACAAAATATTGCAACCTTGGTATTCAAACAGCTTCATCATGAATGGTAATATCTGATAATATCTTCTAGCAGGGATTTCAGCCCCTATGTTTTCTGATCAGCGTGCATCTACCATTTTAAGTCATCTACAACTTTATATCAGAGGTTCAGAGTGGATTTAGAGCTTCATTCAGTCCTCTTCATGTTTGTGATGCCCCAGTAGGGTCAGCAGGTACTTGTGTTGTGTTCATTGTATGTTGATTGTCTTGGAGGTGTGTCTTGTTGCAGCACTAATTGGAGTAGCCTGGTGGGCTGAGGTTACTTAAGATCCTGCAGAGACACACACTCTGCTGCTCTCCCTGCTCACCCTGCTCTTCTCCACAGGTACATTTGGTTTGAGAATTTGGTCTTATTGGAATTAAATAAAGAATAAAGACTAATTTGGTTAATTAAGAATTTTTAGTTATTCATTTGGTTGAATCTAGGTAAATAAATAATGATTTAAACGTTACCTTTGTGTGTCTCTTGTTGTGACTTCCTGAGCCGGGTCATGACAATGTTTTAACAGCATTGATGGATTAATGATGGCGCATTCTCCATCGTTCCTCCTCCCTGCTGCAGAGATAGAGGTGATCTCTCTTTGTGAACAGTCTCATATCATTCTGTCCACTGATAGCTCAGTAGTTTGCAGTCTGCTGTCAACTCAGCCCCGCCCTCCCCAGCAGCTCCACGAGGACGCTGCTCTCCTCTGCAGTCTGCAGTCACTCCTGAGGAGCCCGTCAGAGTGCAGCACACTGCAGTCTCCATCACTCCTCCTCCTCCTCCTCTTCTTCTTCCTCCTCCTCCTCCCTGCGCTCCCCTGGCAGGTGGAACACACGCACACGGGGCCGGGACAATGTAAGTATCAGCTCTTCTATTTGATCCTTCTTTTTCGTATATCATAGCAAATTTCATAAGAAACATATAGGCTTGTCATAGCTTGTAGCTACCACTTTTGTGCTGCGTCATGCACAGGTGAAGTTTTTTGGGTTTTTTTTTTTTGCGTCATTGTTGATCGGGTGTGCGTGCATGGAAATCCCCCCCCCGCCGCAATATTTTGCTGCATCATCTTTTCAAAATCACTAAAAGAACAAAAGTCAGACTGACAAGTGAGGAGGAGATTGTATTGTAGACAATCCACCAGAACTTTAAAAGGCTTTATTTTTCCCACGGTCTTGGTTTAAAAAGCAGTAGATTGGTTGATTATGATTAATGGGATGAAATAAGCTATAGGCTGCTTATCGCTGTTCCTCCGTGACCTTAAAACGTCTTTGATTTTTTTTTTTATATATATAGCGGCAGAGGCTGATGATGCAGCACATCTCTTCCTCTCTCTCCTGTTTGCGTCGCTCTCAGAGCAGGAAAAACGTGTCCCATTTCAGCTCTGCAGTGACAAATGCAGCACACTGACAGGAATACTGACAGATTTAAGCTTCTTACATCTGTCAAATAAAACGTGTATGCTGAAAAGTGAAACGATTTGAGTCTGTTTTTAGTATAGGCATGCAGCAAATATCTTTTAATGGATAATGCACTGTTTTACCTGCATTAAGAGCATTTTAAATGAAGATGTATTATCTGTTCTTCCTCAGGGATTTTATCTCAGTCTTCGCTGTGCTGGCCTTAGTGGCCTCAGCTGAAGGAAATGTTGGGTAAGTGTATACATTCAGATGCGTTCACAACCTGCATTGCCGTTACATACAAGTCAATCAAATTAATCATCAATCTTTATTTGCATATAGCATCCACCATGAGCACAGCACTTTGCAACGTTTTGCAAAAGTAACAGTGGCAAGGAAAAGTGCTTGTTAACGGGAAGAAAGAAAGCTCGAGCAGATCATGTTGATCAGCCATTTGCTGAACTATGACTCAGAAAGTGATATGCACTTTCAAAATGTACTAACCTATTACATTTGATTGAAAGTTAGGCCTGAAGTAACTCTCTTTTTCCTGTCATTTTGGGAGGAAAGTGTCGTGCTGAAACTTAAACATCATTACATCATTTGAAAAAAGTTGATTTTGTATTTTTTTATATGGTTAAAGAGGGGGTCAGGGGTGTGTGGCGTGAGGTATAAGATACTTTGTGATAATACGGTGTTACAGTTCTGGTAAATGTCATTGTTCTTGTTTAGGGCTGGTTTATAAGAGTAGATGAGGCTTTGAGGCCTTTTTGCCTTTATTCGATAAGACAGCTGAAGGGAGACAGGAATTGTTGATGGGATGACATGCAGCAAAGGGGCGAGCTCAGATTCAAACCCACAGACGGTGCAATGAGGACTAGCCTCCTCATGGGGCGCTCGACATAACTGTTAGACTATAGGTGCGCCAGATCTTCATTTAAGTTTAGTGAGGAAGAAATGTCAATACTTCAACCAACATTTTTTTTTTATTCTATCACAAAGTAGTTTAATCATTTAGTTAACAGTAAAAAAAAAAGAAAAGAGTTTAAGTGTACAGATTTAAATATACAGTCGAGGGATTCAAGTGGATTAGTTATGATTTGATAGATCAGTAGATTACGTTTGCTCAAAACAGAGTAAAAGCCTCCATACATGTGTTATGTGAGTGTTACATTCTTCAATGGGCTTTAATCTGCGGCTGTTAAAGCCGTCACTCTCTTCGGAAAGCTTTTAAATTGCTGCAGGGATTTGTTGTTTTTCCACATTCAGGCACAAGAGCATTAATGAGGTCTAATCCAGTTATTAGATGTTACTTTCAACAAACAAAATCTTTAATGGATGTCATGCCCTTCTATACTTCAATGCGTTGTTATGTCTTCTGACCTTAAAATGTTCCAAGGTCACAGCTGTTCAATTGATATGAGCCAGTGTCTACTTTCTATGGTTATTGAATAAAAATGTCCATTGTTGAAATGATCCTCACCTTTTCTCTTTTGGTTTGATTGTTTACATGTTGTTTTTTTTGCAGCTTTACTGAAACATTTAATTTTCTCTTTCCCATATTTCTGATCTCACCTTCTCCCCAGTTTTATGATCCACATTTTCTAAAGCACTTAATAATTATGGAAATGGTATGTGAGTACAGTATGCTTTCCTCGCTTGTGAAGATGGGTAATAAGACTCATGTTCATCCGAAAGGTGTTAGATTCTAGTTTTGGTCATGGTACCGTTAAGGCCAATGAACCACATGTTCTATTTTCTCAGGCAGGTGTTCAGGTGAACACAAACGTTGATCTAATTTGGGGAGGGTTTAAGCAATCTTGTAGCATTTTGGAAAGCAAAGAAGTTGGCTGCCATTGCTATGAAACATTCCGAAACACTTTAATGTTTAACAGAATGTATAGTTTTTTGGTTTCTTATTCATGAAATGCCAAATGACTAGAATTGATGTTGGACTAGAAGCCATATGAATTTGGATGTTAGAACTAAGTACCCAGTTTTGCACCCTATGACTAAGTCACACACTTTATTGCTCCCACTGATTAGCGTCTTGCAGGATTTTGGTTCTTAAGTGTCTCTAATGTCCCTTGGAATTTAAAAAATTAACAGACAGTTTATAGACCTAAGACAAAGTGTTGCCTTAAACTTTTTTGTCCAGTATTGTCTATATAACGTCATCGTATTCAGTTGCCACCTTCTTTAATCCATGAAAAACAATCATGGGACGTAGATGTAAGCTAATCGATCCACACACTTAGGGAAAAATAGTTTGGATGGATATTGAAAATGTTTTTTTTTTTTACCATCTGTTATAGGCCAAGTACCAACAACAGCTTTTGCACAGAATCAAAGGAATGTCTGGAGTATGAGCTTGTCTGCAAAACAGACGAGTATGAGGTGAGTGACCACCATTCTAACATTCAGAATTAGTAGAGCAGGGAACTTACCACTACTCTTCAAATACTGCTGCACAATGTTGGCTGGCTTTTTAGCAGTTCCCTTTCCAACGTTCATTGGCATTGCCTAGGAAAAAAAAATGTTACCCCCAAAGTTATATGATTCAATAAATGATTGCTGGATGTGAAGTGTCAGAAAATTCTGTTCACATCACATGCTTCAATTAGCTAAATTAGCCAGAACACAAAACATTGTAAAAAAAAACAAAAAAAAACAGATGTTATTGCTTTCTGATTGGCTGTGACAGTACATGACGTATATTTTTTTAACATGTTTCATTGTGCCCAGACCTTAAAGACCCTACTGGTACCTTGGCACATGTTTGTATGTTCATATCAATCAATTATTTCTCTATTTTCCTTGTGTGTGTGTGTGTGTGTGTGTGTGTGTGTGTGTGTGTGTGTGTGTGTGTGTGTGTGTGTGTGTGTGTGTGTGTGTGTGTGTGTGTGTGTGTGTGTGTGTGTGTGTGTGTGTGTGTGTGTGTGTGTGTGTGTGTGTGTGTGTGTGTCAGGTGCGACACTACAGCCCCACTCGCTGGGTGTCCACAGACGCTGAAGCTTATTTCATGGGTGTCGGAGCAGCCATGGCTTTCAGAAGACTTTTCCAATACATCACTGGAGCGAACGAAGGAGGTAATGCTGCATTCATGTGTTGTCGGACAAATCGGAAAAAAACGAGTTTCCGAGTTGTAAAATGCACATAAACACCTGCTCAAGTCGGAACAACAACTCGGAAACTCGGAAAAGAAATGAGGTGCCCGATTTCCCAACTTGACGTCATAATCGTCATCAAATGGGGGGCAAAATATGTTTTGTTAATGTTAACATACTTTTAATTAATTCAGGTATTGCATATCAACTTTTTGCTCAAATATAACTTTTAACAGTACCATTTCACTGATCTTCTTCGTACCATCAACGCTTTTTTTGTGCTATTTTTACAACATTCCCACTTTCCGAACTGAAACCACGTGAACACACTGAAGTTGGAAGAACGACTTCCCAACTCGGAAACTTGGACCACCCGAGCAGCATGTGGTTGTTCTTCTGTAAGTGTGTGTTCTATGTGTGCAGGTATCCAGATGGAGATGACTGCCCCTGTCCTGGTGAAGATCCCAGAGGAGACCAAGATGTGGGAGCCAGCTGTCTACACGCTCAACTTCCCGCTGCCGTCAGCCTATCAGGAGAAACCGCCTGCACCCACCAGTGACAAGGTGAGCAGAGCTGCGGGGGCTGTGGGTGTAAGGTGATATCAGACAGATTTATCCAGGTGGCGGTGAGTTTGCCCTTGCCAGTCATAGGGTCAAATACTGTTATCCTGCCGGTATCAGAGTGTAATATAATCACTTTACGATCAATAGAGGGCATTGATGTTTGTACAGTATTCAGTGCAGCAGCTGCAGCTTTCTCGCTCTCAGCAGAAGAGAAATAGATGTTGCTGGCTCATGGTGTCAGTGCCGCTTTCCTGTATCTGCGTTATGATTTCCTGATGTGAAATCTGAGCAAATTAACTAGCTAACTGTATCAAAAGAAGTTAAAACTAACTTTAAACGAAACAGTTAAGACAAAACATTTTGAATACTTGTAATGGATTGTCTTTTTTATTGTTATTTACATTCAAGTAAATGATCAGTAAACTTCTTGCACCCCTTCCTAAACCATTACCGTTCCAGTGTATTTAAAAGTATCTGCTTTACCCTGTTATTACAATAACGACATCTTTGTCCGTCAGCTTTCAGGATTTTAGTGGTGAATTTCACTTTGATATTTGTCTTTGCTTTATACTATGTGTGCTTTTAAACATATATTTGAAAAGTGTTTGTGTCTACTCTTTGCCTATCGATCTACTGTAATCTATGGGGTGTCATTGTGTGACTCATAATGTCACCTCCATGCACAGCTGTATTTCACAGAGATGCCAGAGATGGACGTGTACGTGAGGAGTTATGGAGGCTGGATGCTATCAGTCACCTCTAGGCTTCACGCTCACCTACTGACCAAAGAGCTGGAGAGAGTCCGAGCTCCATATAACCACAGCTTCCACTATGGAGTCGGATATGACAGGTACACTCATGTCTATAATTTCTCTATCGTTTAAATCTTTGGTAACTTTTATATTAAGTAGCGGATGCAAAATGAAAAAGTAGCCTATAAGCATGCATCTTAGTTGCATTTTGCGTCTTCTTTAGTCATTACACTCCACTTATTCTGCATGACAATACACTGTAACGAATCAGCCATTAACTAAGAGTTTTCTCTGTGCGAAAATACTGCTTATTCATAGTAAGTAAATGAATGACTATCTTTATGCTTTGCTCAGTATGGGGCGGTATTAGGTGGTAATATAACACAGAGCAAATCATTTTGAAGATCTAATTCAAGTGCAACTCATGTCATTCATTTGTAACTTCTAGCAATAAGCAGTAATTAAGAAGATCTTTATTAGCCGTGAAGCCTACAGCCATGCAGAAAAGACTTTAAAATGACTTTCTACATCAACAACTTTACTTTCATGTAAAGTTAACCCCTACTTTATTCCAAGGAATCATTTAAAGAGGACACATTATACCCCTTTTCTACCTTTTCAAACAGTCCCCTGTGGTCTAGATGAAACATCTGTGCTGTGCTTTGGTCAAAATATAACATGAATCAAGCACCAGAGGAGGTTTGTGACCCTGTGTAAACCATCTCTCTCAGAACGCTCCGTTTTGGTGTGTGTGTCTCTTTAAATGTAATGAGCCCCCCTGAGTTTTCCCGGTAAACATCACTCCTTCCCTAGCGAGAATAAAAATGGCAGACCTGCGCAAAAGCTTTTTCTCTAGGCTGGGTGTGGAGTCCATGGGTGGAGATACCAGGGGAGGGGAGGGTTTTATTTTTTTAACAGAATCCCACTGTGCATTTCATTCTGTATAATTTTCTTGTCAATTACAAAATGTATTTTGAGACAAAACTGGATCCATGTCATAGAATAAAAAAGTGAAGGGTTCATGGTTAAATCACAAACAGGTTTGTGGATTACTGTCTCTCCTGGTCGCCAAGAGTGACTGCTCTTAAAAAAGAGTTTGGATCCCTATTGGCAGGTCACATTAGTGGTGACTCATAAACCCTGAGTGGCCATGCCCTACAATGCACACTGCTCCAGCCCCCATTTTACTCTTGATGGGACCATAATTCATAAACAAACATCCAACTTAAACTACAAACTGATTAAGACAATGTTTACTCAGCTTATAACGCAATAAAAAAAAAGGGTAATTTTCTCAAGTACTCAATTGGACTTCCTCTCAGAACAAGCAGAGTCTCCCCCTGCTGGCCTTAACATATAATTCAGGTTAAAGAAACTTCTGCATTGACTTTACTTTCAAACCAAGGGTCAATGTCAGCTTCTTGAAGAGTCTAAGATAGGTTACTTTATTGTCAGTTCGGCCATATGTACAAGACATACAGAGGTTCGCAGACCTCAGCGTCACAGAAAAGCAAAAAGAACAACAAACAAAAGAATAAAACATTAATAACGAAAAGGATAATAAAGCGGGGGACGATTAGTGTGTTCATATTAAAGCTTCTGAAATAGAAAGCATGGTGTGCATGGTGTGATAGTTTTTGGGTGAGTTAGTGTTTAGCCTTTTTAGGGTAGGGTATGAGAGAGTTCAACAACCTAACAGCTTGGTGAATGAAACTGTTTTTTAGGGCGTTAACTATTTCGACTCTGTGTGTCTGTCTCTCTCTGTTTGTTTGTTTGTATCTGTGTGTGTGTGTGTGTGTGTGTGTGTGTGTGTGTGTGTGTGTGTGTGTGTAGTCCTTTGAAGCTGTTGAACAGGCACAATGAGGTGTGGTACATGGCCGAGGGGGAGCCAGTCTGCACTGATCCACAGGAACCAACACCCCCACACACCCCTAGGCCGACCCTCACCCACTCACCCACAGACTCTACTTCTGACCCACTCCCACACACCCTCTCTGACTCTCCCGCACTTACCCCCTCCATCCTCTCCTCCAACTTCTCCTCCAACTTCTCCTCCAACTTCTCATCCACATCCAACTCCTCCTCTCAAACACCCCCTGACACCACTGCTCTCCCCACATCTAACGCTCCATCCAGTCCCTCAACCACCCTACCTGCTGAACCTGCTTTCAGCCACCCACCCACCTCTGCCCAGATCCTGCTCGCCTTGATAAATAACTCATCAGATCCGGTCTCTGTGAGCCCGTCTTTGGAGCAGCAGTCTGATGCTCCCCTGTGGAACAGCACAGCCCAAAGCCCTGTGGACACACAAGACGACAGTAACCCTGTGGTCGAGCCCGATGACGCTCATTAGCATTAGCAGGCAGGTTTGATTTAAGCAGCTATTGCAGGTATAGTCAAAAGCAATCTAATGTGAATGTGTGTGATTGAAGGTTAAAGCTGTTCTCATCTTTCATATCTCCCTATTTCCATAAATCACAAAAAATGACCTTATAAAACATAATGTATAAATATATGTTCTATCACAGCTTTGCACCTGCAGCCTCCTGGAGGCAAACACACATCTGTCCACTGTGTCTTTCTGAAATGCTCACAGAGCTGCAGTAAAGTGTACATGTATGTATCAGTTTGAGAGTGAGAATTCAATGTTAGGGGTTAAAAAAACATGTTTCATCACAACACAATATTTTATTGACAGTATGATATATTTGCTGCATTTCCAAAGTCTACCAAGAAAGGATTTTGATTCAATTCAGGGGCCTGCCATCAATAAAAGATATCATAGCCCAATTTAAAACGGCCAAATCTGCCAACTTGCAATGTGGCATGCTAGGATGTTTATGTTTTGTGCTGCATTAATTAGAGCTTGAGAGCTAGTACACCTAAATGCTGATTGAGAGAAGAGGTTTTTTTATTGGGCAGAATCAGAATCAGAAATACTTTCTTGCAGAAGAAGTCAAATGTTAGACAAAATGGCACGAGTAAGAAAATGTCGGCAGCGTCATGTTCCAGTGACATGGACTACTCACAACAGCTTAAAAACATCCAATCTCATAACTCATTTGAAAAACAGACATGAAGAATTACAAAGAAAAAACAACTGTATGAGAATCAACAATCGGCTAAATTGTTATTTTAAACACCAGTATCAGTCTGGATTTTTCCATATCAGAGCATCTCTAGTTATATTTAAATAAAAATCCCAAACAACATCTGAGATATGATTTGCTGCTCATTTTTCCAGATTTTGAAATACTAAAAATTTGTTGTTTTTTTTAATCTGGAAAATAAATATAGAAATATCAGTGTGCCTATAAATAAGTCTGTCACTGTGGTTACAGCTTTCGATTTGAAATATTGATATTAAAATGTAGATTTGATAAGATGCTTATTTCAAGTTTAACCCTAAAATACATTTAGAGACGAACAAGTCTTCAATGGTTATCTGTGTTACGGGTTAGCAGAGTAGATCCGAAAGAGTAAGAGGAAACATAATAGTCATAATGTGTTCTATCCATTGTTGTTAAAAGAGTTGGATGCTGTAATATTTAAAGTCTCTGTCCATAGTTTCAGGAACTAACATCTCTAGAGCTTCTACTCTCTGTTTAGCTTCATGTCAATTTATTTCATGATACAATGTGTGATTAACCATGATACAATCAGAGAGCACATTCATTGGGATCTTTGGGGCAGCTTTAAAACCTGACTATGATTGGTTCTATAAAGTATTTAGAAAATAGTTTATTCAAATGTGACCTGTGGCTCCTTACCCATATGTCATGTCTCTTTGAATTTCCGACTCTATCCACTGTCCTGTCTCTACAATAAAGGCAAAACAAATCCCAAAATAGAATCTTAAAATAGTTAAATAAAAATAAATAAACCTGGATCATGACAAAAAGGGATATTGTTAATCACATACAGTTTGTGTTGTACCAAAATACAGCCTGTTTTGAGGTTTAGCCTTAATTTCTTGGTTAAAATCAAAAAGAAAGCAAATACTAGTGTAGCATCTTTAAATCACAGTCAACATAATCTTCACCATTTAGTCACTTCTGAACCTGAGTATAAAATTCAACAATTAAGACATGTATCTTTAACCCAGTTTAGGCCTAAATGTTTTGGAATAAATAATATTAATACCAATAATATCAAATGTTCTCGTAACAGTAAAAAACATTATCCTTCCTATCTTTTTGAATCCATGTTATTTTTCACACTTCCACATTATGCCCAAAGGTGTCCTGCTGAGTTTCGACCACTAGGGGCATATTATGTTGTGAATCCATGGGTGACTTTAAGCATATTTCTGCTGAGAAGTAACTTTTTTGGCAGCAGTGTGTAAGTAGAAATGTGCCTCTAAAGAAAGCTTAAGAAGTTCAGGACTATAAAAGCAATGCATGCCTTCCATTGCTCCTTAATTTTTTTGCAAACTTCACAAAGAAAGAGCTCTGAATACTGAATTAGAGTAAGTCCACAACACACGCTGATCTTTGTGATCTTTTGGGGAGATGATCAGTAGTTTATTTTTGAAGAGTTTGATCTTAACAGAGGTTAAAGTGTCTCAAAGATCCCAATGAGTGATGCCTGGTCAACCACTGCAATACAAGGTACATCTGTTAATCAAAGACTTTCTATCTATATGTGTATCTGAGCTTCATACTGTATGTTCAATGTAAGGTGCAATAAAAACCATAACAAACTATTGTTGGACTCTTTTGATGATTAGTATTTACTTTTGAATAGTCTGAAGCAGGGGCGTATTACAAAACCCAGGGCCCTGTACATGTAAAGACAGAATTGGGAGAAAAAACGACTGGAAGGCAGAAAAGCTTGATCTGTGGAGTTTATTCCAGTTTATTTCATACATGAATGCTGGTCTGAAAAACACCTTTTTAACTGTGCACTCTACTGCAGATAGAGATGGGGTTCAATAGCATTTGACATAATTTGAAACCAGTTCTGAATCGGCTTATTAAATGGAGAATCTTTTAAACCTCCTAAAGAAACCTAGTAGTCTGGATGGGGACTTTTCCGTAAAAAATATGTACATATTTTCATTCAATTTCATATGTAAACCACTGAGGTTCCACTAGTCTTAAAGCGCTTTTAGGGCTGTCATCACAAAATGTGTCACTGATCTACTGCTACAGCTGCAGAAACCACAGAAGCTCAAATGTGAGTAAAACCAATACAGTGGACAATCATGGTTCTTTGTTTTCATTCTGCAAATACTAAGTAAATGGCAAATTTCTCTACATGCAAGATGCATTTCATGTTACCTGAAGGAAGCCTGCATCAGGTCTGAGAACAGAGTGGTGGAAATGCCATGAATTCTTGCTTCAACAGGATGACAAGTAGATACACATTGCAACAAATCTGTGATTCCCCCTTCTATTCTCAGTACTTCCTGCAAATGTTTTTAGCAGCTTTTTCTGTTAGATATCAACATTTGAAGAAGGGGTTGACCATTTTCATCGAATCTGTCATATCTGTCAGAAATATTTGTGTACAATTAGAACGTGTGTGTCGGTCACAAGTTTTCTGTAGTGTCAGAAATTAGTACAAAAAAAGGCCATCTAAGTGAGAACATCAATGAGAGATTTGATAAGGGATTCTTTAGGGATGGTTTACAAACTTGGATCTGGATCCGAAATGGAACCCCACTCCTAGAGTGCAGCAAATCCTGTACTTCTGAATGTCTGAAGTTTTGCATGTCACACTTCACCATCAATATGCAACCAGCTGAGTGACGTTTCATTGGCATCCGATGCGCACAAACATACAACCACTCTCAACATAGTTTCATTAAACCTCACTGTCACCGTGATATTCCTTTGAAATGAGCTTATACCACATACAGTAAATAACCATTCATGCTGTGGTGATCATCTTTGAAAACCACAGTTACAGATCTTTGTTGATCAATCCTGTTCTCTATCTTACGGTTATGGCTATCTTTTGATTAGCAAAACAAATGTGCTTTGGACGACATTAGGCAGGATTCAACTTGAACAACTCTGTTGTTACTTATACAACTGGTGTTATACTTGAGGCCTTCAGTCCACAGAAGAGAAAACAAACGGTAATCATGTGTCTTCTGAAAGTCAGTGTTTGTCCATAAACGACTTAATAAAACTAATTTTCTTCTTAAAGAAAAAAAAATCATTTTTGAGTTTGTACTTCAAACAATGAAAGTATAAGTAATGAGACTTTTTAAAAGTAACTCCTTCTTGTTCAGTTATCCTTATATTTTATAAAACCTTCTTCTGTTCACTCTGGATATGAGTGCGTCTCTGTTTGGCAAAAGAAAAGCTGTGCTGTTAGCCTTTTCATGCACATTCAAAGGGGGTACAAATAATTTTTAGTATTTTGTATTTGTAGTAGAATCCCAGGGCAAGAGAGGTAAGGTTTATTTAAGCACACACATGGCTTAAGGCTCGTCTGTGTGCACATAACAGTTTTACAGTTTCTACCAAAATTATTGTTTGTTTTCCTTAATGATCTGTTACTTATGTGTGTTTTGTTGTTCACTTTTTTAGTTCTACTTATTTACTGTTCCTCCCCCTCCGTCTGTATTTCATATTTGACAACAGTTGTCACTATGATGACTTTATAAAGCATTTTCTGAAATGGTCTGTCACTGTCATGTTTTATGTTCCTCACTTGGTAATGACCGCCTTCTTGGTAATGCTTGCTCTCCTGCTCCCTCCTCCTCCTCCTCCCCCTCCTCCCCCTCCTTGCCAAAGATGATTAGGGATGGTGAAGGCGTCCACACTCATGCCCATGGTTTTGGAGGGGATGGCACTGAACTGCTTCCTATCTGAGCTGTATTTGTAGATGGACTCCACATGGGTGGAGCCTATTGTCCTTGGGCCCATGCCAGCCAATCGTACAAGCTCCTGGGAGTCAGAGTTCATGGTGTAAACGCCTCTGAACTGGCAGTTGGAATCACGGAAGAGGATGAGGAAGTGGTTGGCAGGACTCTTCTCCATCTCCTAAAGGAAGGAGATGTTGTTGGAGACAGATGAATGCAAGTTATCATTTTCTGCTTCAAACATACCGTTAGGCTAGTTTGGTTCCTCAAATGCACAAGTAACAGAATTCTTAAAAGTGTTGGGTGATTTATGTCATACATTTTCAAAAGTAGGGTTTAGTCGGCTTATGGTACAGTAAAATGAAAATTCTACCTCAACTATCTTGGTCTTTTGTGTTTCGTTGACCTTTCCAGCAAGGCAGCATCGAGAGAGAGCGTTGTGAATGATGAATTTGTTGGACTTGAAACTCGGTTCTTTGAAGAGCTTTGGACCTGCAAATACAAATAATAGCACCCTTGTTTACTTGTTCACACGTGCATACTAAAGTTGTCAGTTAAAAGTTATGTACGAGGTAGCTACCAGTAATGTTAGCTTGAAATTATGGAATGCTAACATTAGGTGTTAAGGACAAATGAATTATCATACTGTACATATTGGCTTGATCCCTCTAGATTTTTACTATCCATTGGCTGTTGATCAATCGAGAGGCAGATAGATAGATAGACAGATAGATAGACAGATAGATAGATAGATAGATAGATAGATAGTATTGTGTGGTACTGTACCGCACCTGTGTATTCTTTGGCAGGAGATGTTCCATTGGAACCAGTCTCCCAGTCTTTATCCCCATTCTGATTTGCCAGTCTGCTTGGTATCACACACCCTGAAGGTGAATCAGGACGGCTGTGGGAGGAATGCCAACAAGCCAGCAGTTAGTCTATCAACTTTTGTCTGTTGTGTTCTTGGGAATAAACGATTCATCAGTAAGAAAAGAGTTAGTGACAAGAGTCTTTCAATCAGTCTTGAAGATTGTCTGGCATACAGTATCTTGATAATGATGTGACATCCATCTCAACTTGAGTAATACTACAACAAACCTAAAACGTAGTCTTGGACTCTTAAAGCCCCTCACTGTGCTTCCCAATATCCATATCTTACTAAACTAATAAGCATAAAAAAAAAAATTCTCAAAACACTTGAGGTGCTAAAAATCTAAAGTTTTTACTTGTTGTTGGTTCCACTAATCAAACTCTTGGATCTAGAAAATAGTCAGAAAGTTGCCTTCAGAAGGCTGGGGACAGTGTTATTTGAAATTCAAATTTTATGGCAATCCATTAGTTCTCTGGTTGAAAATATGGATAATCACACTAAGCAAATCTGGCCAACCAGCAATGTTGCCTCTAAAGCCAGGAGGCTATCAGAGTGAAGAGAGGTATATGAATGACCCAATGTACCTTTGGGGTTTCTTAGTGGGGTCAGCAGATCTGTTTCCTGGCTCATCTGTGGCTGCCAGGTTGAGGGAGGAATGAGAGTAGACTTTGGTCAACTTAGAGCCTGGAGAAACAAATACATTGACAAAACAACTTTAGTCATCAAAGTCATTTCCAAGCGCACCAGTTGATATGTTTTGTTTCATATTTACCAGATGTTCCTTTGGCAGGACTAAGTGACAACTTGGTCTCTTCTCTAGTCATGCTGCGAGGCCTTGAACGGGTTTTCTTTGCAGAGGATCGTCCTTGAGGGGTAGGTTTTTGCTGAAGCACTTTGCCCAAGTCCTCCATGATCCTGAGTTGATGCCGCCGAGCGTACTCCCCTCGTGTAAATTGACCCCAACGGACTGGTGTGGCAGGAGGTGTAGGTGAAGGTGAGGTTGTGACTGCAGGAGGGGTATTGGAGGGAGATGCCATTCTTTTGTCCGGGGACAATGGTCTAAAACCAAATAGAATGAGGTTACTTTTACAAGGATCAATCCCAGCTTAAACTAACTAGTTTACAATTTTATAGATTCCGTCATAAGGAAATGCAGATGGGAAGAAGTGAGAATCTACTTTGTGTGGCAGCATTCACAATTTTTTTTATATACCTCTCTTGTTCATGCCACTGTCTCCTCCTCCTCAGTTCTTCAGTTCTCTTCTGCTGCTTTTCCAACAGAAGTGCTCTACGCTGGGCCATCTCCTCCTCACTTAGTACTTCCTCCTACAACCAAATGACATATGCAAGTGTTATTTTGAATCAATGTTCATGCAAACCAAGTCTTATTTTACTTTCATTATGATTTGCAAGCACTCACCTTAAAAAAAAATTTAATTCCTCCTTTTGGCCCAAGCTCATTCTGTTCTACACTTGGTTCCAAAGTTTCAGGCTGTCTTATCTGTTCACCCTCTGATTCTGTTTGTTGTTCTGGCAAACTGGTGGTTGCTGTTGCCAGATCCAGTTGCTCTATGGGGTCTGATGGTTCAGCGGCCAGTCCTCCAGAAGGTTCCACAGCAGATTCAGTGTGGTCGCTCATAGAATCAGAAGAAAACTCATGCCCTTCGTCAGTTGGTTCATCGCTGCCTCCCTCTTGCCCTCCAAGAGATGACAACGATACCTCAATCATGCTGCAGCGCTTGTCTGCATCTCCACACCTCACACCATCACCTCCCGTGCTGTATGCAGCAGAGAGGGACAAAGTATCGCTCTCAAATGAGCACTCAGAAAGTGCTTCGGAGCTGCTTCCACATGCAGCTCTCAGACGATCTTGTCTTGGCTGTTGAAAGACCGGGAGCCCTCCTACGACCTCCATATCCTCTTGCTCCAACTCCAGGCTAAACTGAGTTGGGGTCTCACTTGAAGCTGTGTCTGAGGTGCTATCATCAGGCTGCGGCTGCTGGGTAGGCTGAGGAGA